AGGAATGAAACAAAAAAAACCCAATAAAATGCAAAAAAGGAAAAATGTGAGCTGTAAGCTTTAACTATTACTTTAGATGTGTTGTAATAATTCCCTTTATGCAGAGTGAATTAACTGGATACATAACAGCTGACACTGATAGTTTCATGTTCCTGATAGTTATGCCTCAGTGTAGTAGCATGGAAACGAATTATCTATCCACTGTTTGGTCACAGATGAATGTTGGAGGTCAGTTGTTCTTCAAAAACAAACATTGACAAATTTATATTTGGGGTCATCAGCCAAATGCTCTCCATCTTGGGTTTGTTTACACATAGTTTTCAAAAATGCAAAGCATTTAATGATAAATAGAATTATCAGTGGGATGCAACAAGATGAGCAAAATCTTTTAACTGTCTCGCTAATCCATATAGTCATCAATGTATGCAGTGCATTTGATGTTCACAAACGTTTTAACCAGTATAACTCTCTAGTTTAAGTATGTGTGCAACACCATCAAAATAAACTAAAGTCGTGTTGCTTATGTAAAACTTGAAAATTATTTTTATGGGATAGGCTGATACATTTCCAAGTTCTCTGTTGTTTAGGTTTGTAGTTATGAAATGGCATGCTACTAGATTGACCATGTGCTGTGTTCTCTGCTACAGTTTGTACTGGGCGGCATTGCCCATAGAAAACAAAGTTGTATTTGAGATTATGACTATCATGTAAACTGAACAAGGAGTGAACAAGGTGAGTTTTTTATTCTTGTTGATATTATTAGTAGTATTATTACAATTATAGTTTGGAATAGAGAAGCCATGAAAAGATGAACTGCGAAGCTTTATACTTGTTACTTCCGGAATTCAAAGTTCTGTTTTTTTCTTGAGATAACTTTTTTCATGAGTTGACATCACTTGCAAAAGAAGTTCTGTAGAGAGCTATATTCCTTAAGTTGTTTCAAGCATTGAGTGATTTAGGTCAGCTCTGACAGAAGAAATGCAGAATCATCTTGGCATGTGCATGAAGGAAGAACTTGTGTTAAAATATTTATTTGTAATGTTTAGCTCCACATAGACTTGATTACTGACTTGGGAAGTTAAATGTATAACTTATTGAAATTTTAAACGTTTTGGATCATTTTCAAACACATAAAAGGTAATACCAGTTTAAACAAAGATTGATAGGAAGTAAAGCTAGTTTTATTAATGTGATGTAAACTGTTAGCAGGGTTGAGGGACCATGTCAGCTGTTGCCACTAATCTTAACTGATATCCCTTTTGCTGGCATTTTACAGATAGGCGTTGTCATCTAGGACCCTCAGAAAGTACAGCCCCAGCTTTTAGCAAGGTTTGCTTTTCTTCCACAATAGTCGACACTTAGATTAACCCCCATGTTCTACAGTAACACAGTTTTAAATTTGCTTTTCTTTCTGAGGTGTTAAAGAACTAGACAGATTGCCAAAAAATGTAGGTAAAGGAAAACTACTGAAGACTTTTGACACTAACTGTATTGTTACTTGTGCTTACGTGTCAGTAATGCCTATTGACTGTGTTTGCTGTCCTTTATCAGTACAAAAGTGAGCCTGTGCCTTCATTGTCAAACCCATTATAAAACAAGTGAAAGCTGGATGTAGAGCCCACAAAATGTAGCTTCTTAAATGATATCATCTTCACATTTAATGCAGATTTCTGGAAATTATTAAGAAAATGAAGTATGGCACACATCTTTCACAATGTATTAAGTATTAGGTTTCTTTTATAAATTTTCCCAGTCTGTGCTTCCCCATTTTAAAAAAAAACAAACCTTTGGCCAGGAAATTAGCATAAAAGCTGTTTCAGTTTTTCAGAGAAACGAAAAACTCTGTTTCCTTAATACATGTTTGAGACGATCTATATAGTAAGAAGAGTATAAGTTATAAGTCAGTGATGAAGCTTTACAGAATATGTAGACTGTGCGCTTCCCTTATGGGATGTTATAAGTGCTAAGTTACAAGACCTGAAAAAAATAGGATGGGGAGGGCTGGAGGGGAGCAGTTGTTAACAAGACTTTAACAAGTGGACGATGAAGCATACCAGCTTGCTGTCAATGGTGGCATTGTAACAGTGTGCACTTTATTGTTGTTTTATGAAGAAAACTGTGGTTACAAAAGTATATAACACAGGGCACTCTTCTATAATTGTTAGTTAGTTACATTGAGGGAAAAAAGTTGCAGGAGGAGTTGCTCAGACTTTTTGTGAATGAACCATTTTCTGGTTTCGAGATAGAAAAGTAAATTGATTGACTACCTGTTCTGGTGTAGAATGAGTTCCGTGTTACCCATAGAAAGCAAGGCAAAGCAAAACATGGATTTATCATCTTTAACTGTTTGTTCAAGACGTATTGCAGTAGTCATTATTCCTCTTAAATCACTGGCAGATGCTTTATAAAAGTATATGAGTCTATATTTTGTTCATTTCCAATTAACCTGTGAGCATCTGTTAGAGCAGAGCCAGAATCAAGGCTTTTGAGCATGGCCTGATTTTCCACAAAATTTTCACAAACAAGAAGCACTTGCTTGAGGGGGAAAAAAAAAAAAATTTGCTAGGCAGTCCAATACCACTAAGTGAATTGTTGTGCAAGAAGGAACAGCTTCTCTCCTCCTAAAAGATCCTGTTCTCATTGTGTTTATTTGGAATCCATGTTAGGAATGCTAATGTTACTATATTCCAGTGTCAGCAACAAAATAGCCTTCATTTAAGAATTCCTGCATTCTAGTCTCCCAGTGATCCCACAACTGCTTTCATAACAAGTTTACTCCCAAACTTTTGCATTCCCAAATTAAATAAAATACCAACCTCCCCACCCCTCCCCCCAAAATTAAAAAAAAAACCATGGGAGCACGAGAAAGTAAAATCAACACTTTAAAACATATATTTGCGTCTTTATAAACCTGCTTTGATAAATATATCATAAAACAAAACAGTCACAATCTAGTTGGATCTGTATGTATCCAAAGACATTTTCCACTGGTTAGAAGTGTAGATGGACCATAGTTCAGCACTGCATGCTCATTAAAATTCCTGGACTTTTCTGAGCCTTTCCTAAGAAAGGAGTGCTGAATTGGGGGCCTTAATTATGCAAATCCTGCTTCTTGAACAACATGTTAAAGTCCTGAACAAAAGAGCCTGCTTTCAAATAACTTTGATGTTGATATAGAAGCTTTTGGGCTTTTGTATGTGTAATCATGTATATATACAATATAGAAAATCTGTGAGGAGGAGGGGTAGATGATAATATTTGAACACAAAAGACCAGGACCTAACAAAATATGAAAAATACAGATTTTACTTGCTTTTGGTTCATTTTGCACTTTTTCTAGACAAATATGTATGTTTATCTAAGCACTCTGAACAAATGCACCTTGCTCTAAATTTGTTTTACTATAAAAAAAAGCAACGTAACCATCTGTAAATACAGCCTATCCAGGTACCAGAAACTGGAAAATTACAAAATGTCATTGAACAGTTTTTAGACTGTTTATCTAAAATATTTTGCAGCACTTTACCTAACATGATTACTGTTTTATAAACATAGAGTTATTATACCAGTTGTTTGTAAAACCATTTAATAAATATATGTTGGTTTTTATCTTTCATTATATATAATTGTATGTTTGTTATCCAAGGGGAAAAAAACTTTAAAAAAACTTTAGTCAACTTAGTGCCACTTCTTGTTTTTGTTTTCATTTTTCCTTAATCTGATGTGAACCACTGTTTAATAGTGTGATGGGTCATACTAAATAAACATTAATCTTAGCTTTCAGCTACAGCCTGATAATTTTAGAACTTTATTAATAGGAAGTGTAGAGGCTGTTTTACAAGAGCTGTTCTATCTGGGCAAATACGCTGTGCAACTTGAAAATGTTCCAATTTTTCTTCATTGCTCTATTAAGGCAAGGTCAGCTATTTAAATCCAGCCTGGACCAATAGCGTTGGAAAGTTTATATGAAATGAGTAAGTGGTACCACTTCAGTTACCCTGGCTTGAGTTTAGAAGATCTGTGGAAACCAACAGGAGTTGTGAGCTCTGATCACCTTTTTTTAAAAAGCAGGCCACAAAAAGCAGTGCCCATATAAGAATAAAGCATCACTGTAGCACACTCATTCCTTCCTCTTAACTAAAGAGCAGTCTTATAAGATGCATCAAATATTAAAATAAGGAAGGTTGCCACTGCATCTTGCCCAACTGTGCCTGATCCAGAGGTTAAATGAGGATTTCACTTTCCCCTGCCTTCTGGCACCCTTCCTGAGCACTAATGAAATGGTGACAATCTACATTTTCCAAAAAGAAAATTCCTGATCGGCAAAGCATTCATCAGAATAGGAGGGATATAATTTGGCTTCTGCTACATAACATTATTTTGGTATCTGTGAATATATATGTAATTTAGGGCTGTCAAGTGATTAAAAAAGTCGCAATTAGTTGCCCGGTTAAAAAACATTAGTCGTAATTAATCGTGATTTTAATCACACAACTAAAAACTCAAAATTATGCTCAGAAAAACTCAGTTATGCAAAATTATTCAGGTACTTTGTATGGTTGGGGTGGGTGGGGTGGGGTCTGTGCGTGGGGGGGGAATTTGTGGGGGTGTGGGGGCCTGTGGGTGCATGTGGGGAGTTTGGAGCCCGAAGAGGGAGGTTCCAGCATACCCTGGCAGGATGTAGGGTACTGTGGGTCAGGACTGAGGGGTAGCAGCAGGGCTGGGGTGGCTGTGGCTTGGGAGTGAGGGGCAGATGCACGCACACACACAGACACCACTCAGCAGTTAAGTGTTTGGGGGGGAAGGGGTGTGGGAGAGGGAAGGAGCACGGGGGGGGCAAATCGAGGCCCCACAGTGAGGGAGGGAGTGGGGCAGAGGCAGGGGGACTGGGGTGAATGGGGTGCCAGGGCCAGGGCAAGTTATGAGACGGAGCTGCAGGCGGCCCATCCAGGAGCGTGGCAGGGGGCCACTCTTGCCTTTTATGTG